AGAGAATCAAATGAAACTATCGATAAAAAAATCATTTTTTTATACACATAATGTCCTTAAATTATAAAAAATAGTCAATTAAAACTAAGTGCAGAACTTGGCATTATTTTTTATGTCATTATGTTAGGAAATGAAAAGATTTCCTATTTTCTGTTTGATTCCAATTCCACCACGCTATTTCTTATAAAGCAAATAACGCGATTTGACAGAACTTGCCAGCTTTCCACATTGGGTTTTATTTTTCACTGTAACAACGTCACAGGTTATGTAATATACTTTATTACGGTATTATTTGATTTCTCCATTCGGTTTGTTTTTATGAGAATTTAGTGAGCATTCCGAGTTTGTCGAATAGCTACGTATAATATAGAATGCATAACTCAAAATTCGCCTGCACATCTGTTACCAGTATTATGGAATTTAATTTCTATTTCGCGTACATTGTTTTCTTGAAATTATTATTTCTCTTCATACTTTCTAATCATAGATCTTATATAGGTACATATTTTAATAAACGTTTAATAAACATAAAACCAGATCAGATATGCTGGATAGAAAAATTATGTCTTTAATTTAGGCTTCTTGGCAATTCCTGTGATTGAAAAAAGTTGCCACATAGACGCTGTTTCGCATGAAAAGCACCCGTTTTATTGTAAAAGTTTCGTGAAAGGCGTTTGCTGGGAAAATATGTACACATTAAGTAATAAAGCTGGAGTCAGATTTTCGAGTTGGATCATGGAAAACAAATGGAGTAGTTTTTCATTTCTAAGCACTTGATCCATACTGATAACACTCAGAACATTGGTAAAATAATCTTTAAAACGATGTAAATGCCGCGGATGTAAAGGCAGGATAAAGCTGATGAATATTAGCTCATTTTCATCTTTTGACAGTGTGTGAGTAATTAATGAGGGGAAAATCCGTTATATGTATATTCATCTCCTATACTTCGGGTTCATTGATTAGGCAGATAATTTTAAAACCAATACCATTTACGATTTTTATTAAAATATTATATTATATAGATATATTATATATCTTCTTCAATATATCAAATTTATACATATACTGATACACGCATATATCAAACATTAAAGCTGTGTCAACCCAAAAAAATTTACACCTATTATTTTTATTCTCGTCCTTTCCTTTTGTGTTTTACGATAAAATTTAATTTATTGTGTAGCATTTATCTCTATGGCAACAGATCACCAGTTGAATCTCTCCAAAATGAGGCAAGCTATTTATAAAAAGAAATCTTATACCTGAGATTGTAAAAACCAATTTTTTTAATTAACAGAAAAAATTCTATGATAATTTACATCTTCGTGCCGTAAAATTTTTCGATTCCAACATTTTACTTTGCAATGACGATAACATTTAGATTAACCGAGAAGTTTCCAGAACAAAATCTTGTTTGATAAAATTGCAAGCCATTCCTGCAAACGTAACGCCTTTTTAATAGAAAATAAGTTTTTTAAACTGTACATAAAAGTGTAGCTCTTTTAAATTACAGCGTCATTTCTCGCGGAAACTTTTTATTTCTCGGTTTGCTCTATTCATTGTATAAATTTGCAAACCATAAATCGCAGATACAATTAAAACTAAAATATTGTATTCTCGGATTTTTTGTTTGAATAATTACCAAGTAAATAGAGCTATTATTTTCAAATTTAAGGGAGATAAATTGTTCATTTTTTATGTTTCAAATTTAAATATTGTGAAGATTTTAATTTATTTACTAATTAAGGAAATTGAAATTTCAATTGATGCAGTCATCAGTAGGGTTTTGTGTGTGTGCAGTACAAGCGGTAATTACACCATTAATTTGATCAAACAGAATCCATTAGTATAATTAGATTATCCTAAAGCCAAATGTAATGCTCATTTTCTTACTACTATTATTATGTCAACTTAAACTGTTTCAATATCATGTTTTTAAAAGGAAAAAGTTTTTTTTTCTATTTACACATGTATAGAATTCGTTCGCAAAATCCTGTTACGTGCACCTGACTGAATAGAAACGATAGAAACTAAAATAATTTCCACGAAATGTTCGCTAGAAAGGTACATATGTATGTAGGTAGCGCTTTTATTTATTCAAAATTACTCTTCCGTTTAACTAGAAAACCGCTAGATATGTTTACGTTCCATTTAAATTCATTCAATTTAATTATTCTAAAAAAATAGAAAGTGCTTCAGATAGTACAGTATGTTTTTATTTATTTGCAGTTTATAAAAGAGAATATATTATATTATAGCCCCCATTATGAGAGTTAAAGATTACATTCAAACTTAAATAAGTTTAAATAATGAGATAGGTACACTGTAAAGCGATTGTAAAGAGAAAATCAGGAATGCTTACGAATGAGATCAAGAAAAATGACATTTATTCGACAAAAAAATGTCTAAAAATAAAGACACTTAACTTTGACGGGAAAGTTCTGCTTTACTTTTCCTTTTTTGGATTATAGTGGCAATATTCCAATCTAAGGTAATCCTGGAAGCAGTGAACTAAGAATAGATAAATAAGAGGCGCAGAAGGTAATGTCTGCACTTTGTTACATTGAATGAAGCTGAAATCCTGCTCTGAGGTGTTTATGTAGTGGAAGACGATGTAAAACGGTAGTCGTTCCGACCAACAAATATTTGATGCATATTTTAAAAGAAAAAATAACTATTTTTCTCTAAATAACACCGTAGGGATGTGTTTTTTCGAAGTGATATGTCACAAACGTTTGTGGAATCTGCTATAAAAATAAAACGAAACAAAGTCGAATGCACGATGAAAAAAGCGTAGATATTCCCATGAAAGGTAGCGTGGTCAACACCGTACATCAAAAATATCGGAATTTTGTCAGAATTCTTTATCAATATCTTTTAGTACAATTTATTTTCAATTCCGAACCAAAAACAACATTTCAGTTTTATTTAGAAAAAAAATGTGAAGAATAAAGGAAACGATAAATATTTCAGAGGCTCCTAAATAGCCAAATCATCAAAACTTGTGAAACAAAGTGAAATATATATTTTGAAAGTAGTTCATCAAACTACAATAAAAAGGCAATAAAACAACAATCTTTATGATCATATCTCTTTTTGACGACATTTAAAAAATTTTAATCCAAAAATATTTAATTGCACATTATTGTTTAAAAATATTCCATCTTACTTTCGTTAAGTCATTCGTTAAGTCATCTACTAATAGGAAGATACTTTACCTATTAGTAGATATTAACAGAAGTAAGTATATTCAAATGCAACTTAAAGAAATTATACAACTAGGATCTCATACAAGCAACCTCATGAATGGAAATATCGTAAATAACCAATAATTGTCGTGACAGAATCGTTTCAAGCATGGGATGTTCCTACTTTAATCATCTCAAGAATTCATCACATCGATCGCCTCCATTGTAAGCTGCGACGGCTTAAATCGGAATGTCTAGAACGTGGTCGAAAACGATTCTAGTGAGAACATTCTTTACTGCAAGCTACCGCATCACGAGATCATTCAATCAAAGAATTTGGACGGATCTTGTAAAGTAAGGAAGTAAAATGTATGTATGGGAGCGCTTTCAAACCCCGCAAAAGTCAAAACAATTAGATTTAATTAATTTATACGTAAATGGCAATAAAGAGATAAGGAAATAAATACAGTGGATAATTTATTGATGGTGAGAATTCGCGTTGATTAAGCAAGGAAAAAGTTGTATAATTGAGCCGGAAATCGTAAAGCCACCTCAAAGTTAGCTCACTCAAAGTAAACGAAATTCGTGAATTTCTTAATAAAATATTCTGATTTCCAAGACTTTTTCGCGCGACTTATTTTGTTGTTACCGAAAGTTCAAAGTTACTCAGAGACATTGAGCAAATACCTGTTTATTCAGTCGGTTAGGCACTTTTAAAATTTGATTACGTATGTAAACCAGTGAAGGACGATCTGCATAATGTACATGAGTCATGAAAAGTTTCTAACGCAATTTAACTATTTCCATCCGCGTATAAAATTTGCGAGTATGATAGTTGAACAAGTCCTGGAGTCTTGTTACATTACGGGAAATTCACACTAAATTCTTCTCTAAATAACTTGGAAATTTGATATTGCGTATAAGAAATCTACTCACTTGCCGTTACTTTTTCATATAATATTTTTGCAAATCAAACTTTAAAAGCACATGCAATTTGTATCTTAGTAATTTCTCGTCATTTATCTTAAAAAATTTAAAACAAAAGTTTTTGACAGTCCTTTAAAATGGTTAATCAGAAATACGAAAGCTCGTGCGATAAGGAGCACAAAATTGTCGCTTTGTTAAGAGCCGTAAAGTAACTCGGGAAAAATCCTCCTTTCTTAACTTTCTTATAAAATTTATTGCCCTTAAATAAACTTCACATCCAGAAAATTTATTAATTATTTAATGGTAGAAAACTAAGTGTATGTTTTTAGTACTTTGTTTCAAAAGAACATAAGAAGGTAGGTTGTTCTTTCCTAATTAGAAAACTATGCTTACCTGTATATTCGATATCATTATTAATACCATTACACCACGTTTATACCAATGTTAGACTGAATATTTATTGATTCGGTACATAACTAAAACTGTGCATACCTATTTCTAAACATACGGAGGAGTCAATACTTCCAAAGAATTGCAAATATTTAACATCTCTGTTTACATTAAAGGAAAACGCCAGTCCCCTTTTTGTATATCTCGCTCCAATTTTTGTTTAAATTCCTTTGAGATTAGTGGAACTCGAACAAGCGAAAAACCCCGGGTAAATTAGAAAACCTCTATCTGCAACGGGCGTTGGAAGTATACATGAAAAATAAAACGTTTCCAACTGATAAGTAATTTTTAAATACATGAGTATCGTGAATCATGAATAACTATCTATTTTACTGTTTAATTCGAAATTTTGCTTTTTATCTATTTACGGAACATTAAAGTATTCCTATCTAACCAATCTTACTTCATACAAAATAATAAATTAAAACTTACAAGCATGCGCTTCTCGTACTCTTCTTCCAAAACGGTACCATTGTAGTAACGTCTCTCTGCTTTAATGTCTGGAAAGTAGAATCCAGGTCGACAGACGCACTTGTAGCTTCCGCGTCTGAATCCTAATCCAGGAATTGGAACGCACTGAAACATAAAAAGCTGTTGGCAGTTATTCTTTTTTATTTCCAATTATTATCTCCGATTTTCCCTCGGGCGTAATTAAAACACAAAAGAGATTCCACGGAGATTTTCCTCAAAAAAAGTAAGTAATCGCTAAAAGGCACCTTTATTGCAGTTTCATTGAAATGGAGATCGGTATTTGAAAATATATAATCAATGAGATGCTTGATGAATGACCTACCTACTGTTTACAATGGCCGTTTGAAGTAGCATCACATGCGTGTGAAATGGGTTTCACGTGACCTCACAAACGTATTTGATTACATGTTTGAAGTGAAATTAGATTTGGAAGGTGGAATACCATCAATACCACGCACTTCGCTACTAAATAATTCGTGGCCAGGTAAGACGTAAAAAAATCATCGTTGCAATGGAATTGCCATTAAAACCGTAACGACGTAATTTCTTAACAAAAAGAGACAAAAAGTAGTACATTATTTTTTTAATTCTACGTTTTTGCTTTCCTAACTCAAATCAAAGGGAATAATTTGAAAAGGGCAACGAAAACAAAGGCGCTACTAAAAGGCTATTAAATTTGGAAGAAGCTTATAACGGGCCGGACAAAAGCCATGCTTTTTACTGGAGTTGTAAATTATTAGTGGTAACTTCCCGTTTATTGAAACACATTATTTAGCCAAGCAACTAACGACTTGTTTTTCGCTCTACCAATCACCTTACTTTCTGCTATTGGAATGCTTCAAGATAGAATTCGAAAGAAAAGCGATTGATATTTTTTATTTTTTGTAGATAAATTTTTCTATGGAAAACTAACCATTAGAAAAATTTAAATTCTCTTTATAAACCAGGTTCTTATCGTATTTTGTGTTTTTCTACTGATCGTACACAAATAAAGACAACAATGTAATTTATCACCCTGATCTAATAAATTATTAATGGTTGTTAGACACAGACATTAATCTACCAAAAAACGGTACTTTTTCTTCACGGAAGACGTACATATACAAATGATGTTAGAAAGCCATTTATACAAAGGATAGGCACATAGGTCCGAAAAATAGAATAAAAAAAAAACGATAAAATCTTGTCTTTCTTTTGGACACTTCACATTTTATTACATGCATACATTAATATCGTAATAATCAAGTGCAAGAAATATACAACAATTAATTGTAGTAGCCACATATGTATAACAGTTCACGAAATGTTCGATTGTAAGATTCTTAGTAGGAAGCAAGAGACATTGATGAATTCATTAATTACAGCATTCATTTGTTGAGAGAACTCATTTGCAGGAATAGCTATGATTAGAAATTAAACACAACTATTATTTCTCAAGACTGTTCATTAAACTAGGAAATTGTTTGTCTAGAACGGATCTAAGATGCATTTACATGTCACTCGGCATAGCATTTAGCACGGAGCAGCAATCTCAATAATAACGATGATTTCTATGTGTTCTGAAATTAACACAATGCCGTTTTATTATTCTCAAATTATTTGTAGGAATTCTTATTAAATAATCTAATTTATGCCATAATATTTATTTTTGTCAGTTATTTCCATTCGTTGTTCGCATTTACTTTCTTTTTCGAGAAGCTGGCATTCAAAACATTTGTCACTCCTATTATTTTTTGTTTTCTGAGATAACAAGAATATATGAACTAGCTACCTACCTAAAATAAAAAATATCTCCATCCTTTGTAAACAAAACAAAAACCCCGTAATTTTACCGCGAAAACGTTAGCCAGAAAAAAGAGCAGGCGATTTATTGCTCAAGCGTAAAATAAAAGAAATATGCACCAATAACACATTTACATCTGTTGATATAAGGATACATATATCCCCTTTCCGAGTGACAGCTTAGAGTTTAACGAAGCAAAAAGGATTTTGATAAAATATGTGGTGTATCCTTTGAATGTGTTCTAAAATTTTAACGAGATAATCTGTCTCGGAGGTGCTTGCATTTCTATGATACATATAAGAGATTCTCTTTAAATTTCAGAGAAGCAACAATAAAAATTTACTGGTGTACTATTAAGTTTTTAAATTATAAAGTTTATATTTTCTAAATCGAACCACTTCATAAATATCTTAATAATATTGTGAATTTTTATAGGACTATTGTTATCCTTCAATAGAAATATAGTATACATACATATGTTTTAAATACCTAATTGTTAATTGTTAGTGCGGATTTACCTAGTTTATTTTCAGATAAATTACTCCTTTATTATTAATAATCTATTAAACATCCACAATATATCACCTAAAGGCTTCATAAAATCCAATCGTTAAAATGGCTTCAAAGATAATACCATCCATCAAAATTCATTTTATAGCATATGATATGTTATTATGGACCTTTCTCACCGTAATTTAATATAACTCATAAGATTCAATAGGTATTGCAGTGAGCTGCCCTATTTTCTCGGATATCTAGAAGGAATTTAGGATATGTTACCGCAGAAGAAGCCTGAGCTTCCGCTGTAGTTATCAATTTCGTTGCTTAATCAAGTAGAAGTAATGTCTGTCTACCACTGGGATGATATCGTTTAATGAACCAGAAGTAGCGTTTCTCCGGTCAACTGGTAATGTGATGGTTCTGATTAAATTTTGAATATTACATTATACACGCTTCTTTTTCTTGTTTTTTTTACGTATTGTAGCTTCTTGTAACAATGAATATTCTTCTAATAATTAACTAATTGATTTCAGTAATTATTAATTTGTTTTTAATAAAATTTTAATACTATTGCTTATCACGAATATTCATCATTTTGATGAAAAAATTGTTGTAATACACTACATTAATAATAATGATTTCTCGATTGAAAGAAGCGATGTATCCCTGGGAAGCATATACCTGACTTTTAAAGCGAATAATCAAATACACTTTTTGAAAATAATTTATTAAAGGCAAGGCCTTTTTCCGAATACAAATTAAATGAATTCATTGTTTTCATCTTCAAAGTCAGAACAAACTTATTCCTTTCTTTATCTTTTGATACAGAAATCGTGTTAGATGAATGGAAACGTTCGTTATTAAACTGATTTGGGTTATTTAAAATTTCCTTTGTTTCCTGCTTAATCCTCTTTGTTCCAATATTTTCCAAACTCTCTGAAATCGCAGAAAATGCATACATTTCTTTTTTTGATGCTAAAACGCCATTAATTCGACGTTCTGGGCCCATTGATAGAGTTAATCGAGCGAGTCTTTAATTGCGAGTTATTCGGAACTTCTCAAACTTTCTAAACTAGTTTTATTTCTTTTTAAATACCATTTGAATCGAGCTTTTTTACTCTTTATTCTTGAATACGAAATATAAATTTCGATTGAATTTATCCATTCGTTTTTTATAAGTTTGCATTTTAAATTATTACCTCATAATATCTCAATAAAACCCTTGATACATTTTGTAATAATTTTTGTTAATTAAATTATTCAGTTAAGTGGAGAGTAAATACACCACATCAATTAACAAGGCAAGATGCATAACATTAATTTATTCAGGATACAAGGCTCCAAATCCTTTATAACTTTTCTCATTTCCCTTTCTAAATGATCAGTGAAAAACATATTTTAAACAAGAGACTTCTAGTGAGAAGTGATTTTGAACCTGTCACACATTTAAAACTTGTTTTGGTTTCGGAAAATTAAGGCAACCGCAGAATAGGGAAAGTACCCTTGACTGGCCTGAAGGCTTGGAATGATAAACTCACCCATTCTACACTGCTAAAATTTCCATCGAATAAAACTCATAATTACATTTTGATTTCTTCACATTCGGTTGGTTGTGCATTTTAAAAATGTATAATATAGCGCAATTAAAATAAAACGCCGGTGACATTTATTTGTACTTTACAAAAATTACGTGCCTATATATGCGTTTAGAATTTTTTATGGGTTATAAAAACATACGATACCTTGGTTATGGTAATGAGTTCATTAGGGTCATTACTTTTTCTTAAAAATAAAATTAGAATAAAATTATGAAATTTTTCTTATTAATATTCAGTACTGTATTAAGGCAATGGAAGATTTATAAAACGCTTATAAGGCTTTTATGATGATGAGTTTTGGAACGACGTTTTTTTTTGAATCTAATTATTGTATAAGCGAAATATTCTTAATCCCGATTTGGGAATAGATGAAATTATAAACAGAAAAAATCTTTCAAAATTTTCATATTTTTAAATTGGTTTAATTAATATATAAGTGTAGTGGAAATGAATCTATATTTTATTAAAACAGTTTTCTTAACCAATGCAATAATAATTTTATACTAATTTTACATAGCGTATTCGAACGATTCATCAGTCCCTAATTTGAAGCTAAAATTTTGAAAATGTTTTAAATAGCAATCGTTAAAGTGGGTAACTCAGGCCACATGTTGCTGCATATTATAAAAAATACGTGATATCATCAGCCCTAAAAACATGTTCGTAGACCAAGTATAAATTCGGAGCACATAAAAAATATAAATTAGGGTTGAAATATTTTGGGAAAATACATTTTACTCCCCTTGTCTTAATGACTTTAATATTTAATGAAATTATTAGCATATTGGAAACAACATGGACAAGCATGATTGCGTGGTATTTCGAATAGTCTGACATTAAAAAATTGAATGTGTTGTACTTCTGAACTAAATCAATGGAATTGTATCAGTTATAAATTGTTTCCGCATTCGTTGTTGCGTTTCAAATACCGTTAGTTTTATAAAAAGTCATTCGTATAATGCAACTTGCTAACAAAGACAGCACTGTTCAAAAGTATCCAACAACTGTGTTTGAAACTGTAGTAAATACACTAATAGATGTGATTACGAAGTTTCAGTTCCACGTGGGAGGCTGATTCGAATACGGGGAAGTAATATATTTGTGAACTTCCCTAGGTGATTCTTCTCGTTGAAAGCTTCGTTTTCGTGAAACAATATATCTCAGAGACTAACTAAAGCTACATCAACCAGCAAATAAATATTTTCAATACTGTCCATACTGTACATACATACATACAAACATACTTTTCATACAAAACAATATTTCCGTCTATTGGACTGTAAATAAAATGATATCTATGTACATAAAAATGTTTCCAGAATATTCACTTGGCTCTGACGCTTAGTAAAAACGCTGAAATTTGCAGCGGTTTAATAATTTTTTCATTAAATTAAAACCGAAGGTATATGACAAATGTTTTGGGGTCGTATGATTCGAAATGAGCCTCTAAAAGTTAATATAAATTTTTTCGTCGTTCATATCCCTTTGGCAACATTATTCTCAGGCGGTGTGATATTTTAATTAATATCCTTTCATAATGACGTTTAACGAATATTAACTGCACAAAAAAATTTTAGAGTACAAGCACGAAATTAAATTTGTTGTTGGTTTTTTTGGTTCTCTTGAGAGTTCTATTTTATTAAAAATTTTGTTAATACTATACCATACAGTATATCATATCTGACTAATTTTTCAAGTTACTGTTTAGGTTATAATTTCACAAAACTATTCTTTATCTTTTATAGCTTAATTGTTTTAATTTCGTTGTACATATTTCATTAAAAGATATGTACGTACATTACCATGTTCTTAAAAATTTTGAAAACAATAATTATTGCTAAAATATTTAATTCAAAATATTAAAATACGTTAATCTCTATTTTAATTAAATTCCCAAGTCATAAATATGCGTATTAGTTACGTTTGTAAAAGGGCTACTTAAAAAACATTTCATTTCCAATGTTTTGGCATTGCGCGAAATTTATCTCCAATTTTCTCTCAACATCGGTTTTTGGCAGATTTATTTTATACCTGTTATTGGCAAAAATATAAATCATGCAAAATATTTATTGTATCCTATGAACAAAAAATTCTTCCATATCGAAGTTAAAAGCGTTGCCCAACTTTTCTAAAATAAGACGATATACATTACACTTACTCCCAAACGAACTGAAGAGATGAGGATCACATAATAAAACAAATCGCCGGAAGTAAATTAAATGACTGACACCGAAAAAATAGGCCTAGAGAAGCTTTAGCTTGATGAATGCGGTTGACGAAAATAACGAAAGTGTAGAAGAAGGAAATTTAAGTCAATAAATAACATTTGTATCCTACATTGTTCACATTAACAGCCCCTCTCTGGGGAAAGAAAATCTTTCACCTCGGCAGGTAGTTTTATTCGCCGAACCAATTAGTTTTTTCCTACCCTAAGATCACAAATTAAATGACTATAAAAAGTAAATTTAAGACCTTTACCTGTGTTGTTCGCCTTTTGCATTTATCGGAAGCGGCGAAAATATTGAGTTGAGTTCCACCCTTTGGCAAAGGGCACTGGTCGATGTCAACTCGTCTTAAGTCGATGTCGATACCACTTGTACCTCTGAAATATAAAAAAGTATGTTGAGATTACAATAAACTGCAGAGATATGCGGAGACGCAAAATGATAGATGGAAATCCTCATATTTGTATAAGCACGTTGAAAATATCGAATGAGACTGGAATAACAATACGTGATTCTCAAATCTCTGAAGAAACCTCCTCTATATAAAATTCCGCAGATATCTAAGTACGAAGCGTTCTTTTTATTTCTATATCAGATATCATATCTTTATAATTGAAAATACAAACTGCATACGAAAACGTTATTTGAGCATGAATTTAACCCGTGTAATTAAATTAAGAATTCACTTTTACAGTGACCTAAAAGCGAACAATTCAAAGCGAATTCGAGTGTAAATACCGGAAAATATTTAAAATCAATTACGAGTATTGGATATTATTGTTCACGTGTCAAATTGGCAATTAAGGAAAACTAACTTCGGAAACACGCGAGAAAAGCTTTCGACTTGACCTTGATGTAGGTAATTTTAAAACCATGTTTTACACCAACGCTGGTCTAAAACTGTATACTTAAGATCAATCTTTATAATTGATCAGAAATTAAATAAATAACAAGTATTAAAAATTGACGAATTAAAAATATTAATCATACAATTTCATAATTTTCTAATTAATTATTTTTTAGAAATTGTTTCCCTTTACATTATAATTATTACCTCAATAAATTAGTAGAAAATTACACAATTAATTTGTAAATAGTCCTTAAAATGATTGTTTAACCATTAAAATGTAACGAGCCATTAAATTTGTAGGCATTTCGAAATTTCTAATTAATAGATGATGATAATTTTAAAGCACTTTATCGGTATAGCATTTATCAATTTTAACAAAAATCAATGTTAATGGTTTCATTTTCGTATTTTCGTTCATATTTGTAAATAGTTAATGGTGTTATACATCTCCACGCATTAGCTTTACTTGGTCATTAAGTTTTTCATTAAGATCCAGCCGTTCATTAAGATTTTAAGGAATGATTTTCTATTAACCGACATTCTTGTGATTTTGAGTAAATTACTGTATATGTTTCCTGATAACAACAAACTTCATTCCTGAGTTCTTCTCGTGTATAACAGAAGGAATTTTAGGGATTCAAAAAAGGTATTGACATTCTTAGATTAGTTTCCGTGAAATATATACAAGTTCCTAAACTAGTTGTATAGGTAGAGATATATTTCACTGAAACGCTTTTCCTGTACAATGTCCATCAAATTACTATTCTCCAAACTTCATGTCTTCCTTCTTTCCTTATATCTCTAAAGAGCATATGCTGAATGATTTTATAAATTCGTCTCATACTGGATGTCTTCCATTGGATGCCATTGAATATGTTCTTTTTCTAAACTAAACTCGTAAGGTTAATAAGCAAACGTCCTTGATTTTATTTCAATTGAATGTAAAATTGCTGAATGATTAAATGAAAAATGCAACTATCTTTCTGAAGGGTTTTATATTAAAAGTAACTGCAGCTTTTGTACATTTTATTGTCAAAAGCATGAAAGAGTTCCGTTGACGTTAATTAAATTTTTCATATGCCTGAAAACTTTTCCTTTGTAATTTCAAGAGCCAAACGTTTTGTATGCAAAATATAAAACTATCTGTTTAAATAATGATAAACTTTCATTGGTTATCTATCTAACTAATATTAGTTTGACTGATATTATCCCGTTCTAAATAATTTAAATAATAATGCGACTTTCATAATGTTAAATTATATTTCCTTCATCAATCATAAAAATTTTTGATGCTCAAAATGTCATATATTCTATACATTAAAAAAAGCACAGTAAAATACTTACGAAGATTAACGTATTAAAAACACATCAGTTACTGTCACAAGGAGTTTAACGATTTATTGCTCCTGGTGAAAATGATGCAAAACTTCTAGTTTTCAAATATTCAGAAGCAAGAAAAACGTATACGTACTTCGCTAGGGAATTGTCTTTTTATTTGTCGCCTATAGTATGTCGCCATAAGTACGTCGTATTACTTACAAATTTGTTTGTGCAATTTTCTAGCTTCTTTTCAATTTGGTCTTACTAATATTATTCGAGTTCTATACCTGCAGCTTGTTTTATTCATTTCTGTGTAAATATTTTCTTTCGATGCTTCATTTGGCATGTTTCCATTTCAAATTTGTCAATACCACAAAAGTTACGCCTTTCGATCTGTGCCTAAATGGCTGAAATTAAATTATAACTGCGATAATTGGTTAAGGAAAAGCATATGTAATTTCCGTCATGATATATCCTTTGAAGTATATTTAGATATTTCTGCAGAAGACATATGTATCAATTCGATAACAAACAAAGTTAATTGTGACATAGTTGAACAAATTAAATTAAATTATTAGTTAGATGCATATCCGGAAGGAAATATATATAATTTTTTCGTAATCAATTTACGATAGAAATAACAAATGTCGGGATAAAAAAGCGCAACCACTGTCTTTCTCCTATAATCACTAAATCTAATTGATTGAGTTCGTTTTTTGCGATCTTGCCAATTTCTTTCCGTTTTCAACGTCTATGAGCTGTCGTATACTTAAAGCGATTGTTTTCCATTTAATTAGGCCAATAATATTTCTTTTATTGGCAACTGTAAATTTTTATATCATTTTTGATTACTTGAATAATGCATCTTCATAATTCACGTTCAATGATTATCATCAAAAGTTTGTATTGTTATTTATTTTTCATTCGATGTGGAATTTCATAATGTTCATCAAGTGATCTAATTTGTTTAGGCCAAATAACGAACAAACCACTTAACCTAAACAAAAACCTTTATAGCAGATTTTAATGAAAATCTGTCTAATTGTGTTACGTGTTTCTAAATGTTGTAGTTCAGTTGATTTCAATAATCTACGTAATTCGTTAGCAAAATCCTAAAATAATTATTGAGATAGTTTATTCCATAATATTAAGTTACTCTATAGCCATATTGTCAGCTTCCGAATTAAAATTTAAAAGCATTATCTTCGCATTTGAGTAGTCTGTTTGACCCCAGTGAAGCACAATGCTGTACTTTTCATAATAGGTTAATAACACATAACGTTCGTAAAACCTCTAAGTACATGCATGGAGCTTCTATATTTACTCCAAATAAATTATTCAAAAAGGATACGTACAACATCACTGCTGGCTTTTAAAATTGCGTTTAAATAAAGCAGTTGGATATACAGAGTATTACATAAATTTTCACAGCTCTTATTGTTTTCAACACATGAAATATGTAAGCTAATGGTAAAAAAGATTGTATTCATGTTTTGGGGATTTGACTTTTAAAGGGATTCGTATAAAATCTTGGTAAACAGTAACCTATGATAATGAAATATTAATGTGTTTAGTTTATTCAAATATTTGCATTCAGATATTGAATTTATCCTGCAAGTTCTACAAAATATTTGCAAGTAGTATGATGTATAGTAATAGCAAATTTCTTGTTAAATATTTATCGGCCTATTTACCTTTTAATTTTCACAACGATTAAAGATTGGATCCATAATTCATGTAATGATTGTTTGCAAAGCAGTCTCAAAAGTTAAATTACAAAAGTTGGATTACTAAATACATTAAACTTTGCTTAGTGTAATCATATGGCGTTTTGGAACGAGTGCACGTATTCAAAAACAGAACTCGACATTCCCATTATCACCGTTATATTAAATGTTTAAAATTTTGCACCCTTTAAACATTCATATTTGTAACGCAGAACAAAATATAAATGGTGAATACGAACAGATACCAGAATAACGAATGGTACAATATAATAAGGAAATATATCAACAATTATGATTTAATAGATCTGCTTGATAACAATCGATCAAAATGAATAAAATAACATATTTCTAATTTACGGTTAGTTATGTGGATGAATAATAATAATATTTTATTGGGATCAAATGGTTAAATATTTTCACATATCTGCGAATAAAACATTAAATTAGGTGCTGTTTGATGGATGGTGTTAAAGCTTTCTCATTCTAGGCTTCTTCAATTCTCTAAGGTCTGTCTGAAAAACATTTTAAATTCCAAATTGTGATCAGATCAGTGACGGTTATCTCCTGAGATATTGGAAATAAATTAAGCTTTCTTTCAAAAAGGAAACGAGAACTTTATTCAAAACAAAATTGTCTTTTAAAGAGTGAAGTTTCCTTATGGAACTTCAAATATTTCAAAATCAAATATTACGAATAAACTTTCATTAATTAAAAGGTCGATACAAAGTTGAGTAATTCCAGTTGATCTCCAATTAAAATTTAAGCACCTTTGTTCAAAACGAATGCGCTATACACCATTTACCATGAATCCCGAATATTCCTTTAGTTTCCACAAGCCCTATCGCTGGCATGGGAATGTACAGAATTACTGTAGATCCTTTACGCTGTTTGGTTGACCACATAGTTCCTCACAAGTTCAATGTAGGCCGAAATTTAAGCGAATCCTATTAGGCGCTAGTGACTCGCTAATCAGTCGCTTGTTGATAAATTACGGAGAAATGTTACGTAGTAATATACATATAATAAGAATTAATAATGAAATTTCGATTCTATTTAATAAACTAGAGGATGTAGAATAAAATGCACCTGCGAGTAACAGAGTTCAATCTAGCCTAATCAAAGTAGGTGGAAACAAAGATAGGCAGTTTAGGGAGTGGTTACTATAATATCTTGCTAGCTAATACTGAACATTACGTATTGAGTAGGTATTACGAAATTCAAATTCATTAATTCAATACAGCTGAGTCTGTAAATTGGCTTTATCGCTAATTAAGCCTTATTTACCAAAGGATTGGAATAATCTATTCCATCGTGCGGATCAAGATTTTGTATTTTTTATATCTGATAATTTTTTGTAAAAAAATAATCAGTATTAAACGTTTGGTTCACATAATAAGCATTATCAGCCATTGAGGAAATCAAAACCGAACTTATATCAGAAATAGGATATTGTTGTATCGATTAACTGTAAATGCTAGTGACATGCAGTAAATCTTGTTACCTCATATAGACAACAGATTAATTGATGTAGAGGTTGCTAATGCTGATGAATAGATGAATTTATCGATATCAAGAATCTTGTTCTAAATATTAGATATGTATTAGGTTGTTAAATCACTGGGAAATAAAAGTTTACTATAAAATAAAGAATATTTTAATGTCTTTCAATCTATCTTTTAATTTATCATACATATGTATGTAAGTATAAATTAATAATTGAAGAGGAAACATTTTTAATTCTCCTAGTAGCATAACTGACAGAAAAATAGCCGTTTTTCAAAAGCAATACGCAAAATATTTGAGCTCCTACTTAAAGAAAAAAACGTTGGTGTATTCTAAAAAAAACCATTAAATATCTTATTTGAAGGGTGGGTTTTTTATTGAATGATTTTCGTTTACCTCATGAATAATAACAATGAAATTATAATATCCAATTTTTCATAAAAGACGCGATTCAAATAAGCATTTTATTCGAAATTAAATACAGCAGAATAATTCCAATAAAAATTATACCCGCTAAAGAGGATTTTTATTTAGCACTCAGCTGGAACATATTTACTTACTCTCAATATTTCTTATTGGAAATTCAAGAGGTTTTTATTGCGCGTTTCCCTGGCATGCCTAATCCATTTAATTTAATCTGGAATAATATTTCGTGCAAGATCTGTCTTAGGTACACACATTGACCTGGTGTTAGAGCTTTATTAAAAACATTAGGTACATTCATTATCGGGTAGGAAGTGCTAATGATATCGTTATACATAAACTTCAAATGAGGCAGGGATATAAATAAGACAAAAAATTTATATTTTTACAACTGAAACTACTCGAAAAGTACTTATTACATGCTTATCAAATTACTTTAATAACTGGTAATAAACCATATTAAAAGTACGAACAAACATTTGACCTACGCCCGCAAACTTTATAAAGCTCTGAATTACTTTGAAGTAGTTCTATTTTAGAAAATTTATAAAACGATTTCGAAAGGTAGAAATTTTACCATTATTTTGTATGAAATATGTTCGTTATCTATAACTTCGTTGAAAGTTGGAGTTAAAAGTTATTCCAATTACGGAGTGTTTTCACTTTTAGGTTACTTAGAGGGGTGTTTGATGAGCATTTTCTGGAACACAATTTACTCAAATATAGAGCAAGGACTAATATCTGCATTAAGGTAATGTGTGTCATATATAATTAAAAAATTTAGCTGTGTTTTCTCTTGCAATTAATTCAGCTTTATCCAACTACTATATTACACGGTAATCCGAAAATCAACTTCAACACACTTTATTAATAAAACTGAGTCAATCTTCATTGTCTCGGTTTCTATACATACATATAATGTTGTATATTAGATTTTGTTTATGCATATACACTAAAGGGCTATAATTCTAGGCAGTAACATTACTGTTAAGAGATACCTCTCATTGGTGGGTAATACTATTGAGAGAAAATAGAGCGCTGATGTGATTTGCGAGACCTAATCTCACTGCTAACAATTACGGTCGTTGAGTATATGCAACAGCATAACATATTCTTGTAATTAACAAACAGTTGATAATAAAGAAGGAACTTACTTGAAAAAATATGTGCCGTTGCTATATCCAAAAAATGGTACAGTATACGTCAGCATCCATATGTTGCCTCCACCACAATCGTAATATGGTTTCGACCATTTTCCATCTTCGTATCGTATTGACAATATTTCTTGAGGAATTCGATTGCCCATAGCTGTACTGTTATATCTGTGAGCTTTGTAACCTGAAACAAGTATTGAAATATATTAGAATTTTACAATTTACCTTATGTCCTCGAATATATTGGAAACGTGTATTATAATATTGATTCCTTTCAGTTCATACGTAAGACTACTGGAAAACCCGGAAAACAAGCGAGAACTTTAGAATACAATGGTAATGTAGCATGATAGTTAGGCAAATAAAGTAATACATATTTTATTGTTCTTTTGAAGGCTTAAATATATGCATGTATTTTATTACTAACTAAAAATAAAAATATTTATACATATAATAAAGAATAATAAATGAATAAAAAATAGAATAATTAATGGTTATTAATTTTTTCATCTATTAAAATTCTTTTTTCGATTTGTTATCTACTCCCCATTAGGTTTGCGTAAACTATGTAATAGAATTTTGAATCGATAAGGTGTAGTGGTAGTTTTTTTGAGATGTATATGGGAAATTGTCTGAAATTTAATTTGAGGGACATGAAATCTTATTTGCGCCCTTTTCGTGTTTCGAGATTTTTTTCTCGTATACTTTCAGAAGAAAGTCGGTCGAATCTACAAGCACGTTTCCTAACGAGGATTGAAAAGTTCAGATTTGTTCTTTTTGTGTTGTTGATATGTATTTCGTTTCGTAAGTTGATTTTATTTGCAGCCTAATGATACATTCATTTACCTAATTTGAAATTGACTGAAAAGAAACGAAATTCCTTCGACATTGCAATTTTATTTTTAATTTTCAAAAGAAAATGAAATCGATGGAGAAACTCTGAAAATACGAATAACTTTGCACAAAGATTAATTAGAATATATTCAAAAATATTTCTTGAATATTAAATATAAGTTTAATGAAATTCTTTTTTCCCTTATTTATTATATTTAACACTATATACATTCTTTATGAATTTCAGAAATTAACGCTTATTATATTTGTCTACAAACAAAATCGACTTGTAATAAAAATTCAGTAATTACTTAACTTCGCTCACACACCAGCTGTGTCTGACATCGCCCTCTATTTCCCGGTACATAATTCTGGATTGAAGTAGAAATTAATACAGCAATGTAGTTTTATAAATTTGCTTTTAGAAATTTGGAGTACATTAGTTGGTTGTTCAGATAGAATAAAAAAAATTACAACGTTAATCGCTTGGTATTAATCAGTCGTGAACTTCATATTATTTCTTCGGCGAATTATCGTCATTTCCGGAAATTTTACGAGCTCTAACAAATTAATTTAATTTGACTGTTATTATGTGATAAGTGGTCGTTTTACCTTCATCACTAAAATGGATTTAATGGTATAATCCTTCATTGTGCCACCTTTACGTTTTACTTTTATATTCATTTTCCCTGATAACTTTATTATTTCATTAGAGAACATCTAACGTTACCTAAATATTTTATCTATAAAATTATATGAGTATTATGAATGTCTGCGGAAACAACAAATTAATTATTATCTATGTTGGCATAGGTAATTTCGTGTACATACCAACATAACTTCTCCCGAATTGTTTCCATCAAATTTATGAAGTAATAGCATATAGGTTATTTTCTAAAATATGAAACACCAAATGATGTGGTATACCGCAAATATATCCGTGTATGTTGCAGATATATTATAGTTGATAAGCCCTGAGTTTGTAGAATCGATCAACTCTACAAATTTATTCTCGTGTTCTAAATATTAATTCGACATGAAATTCTGATATCTATCACGAAACCGAACTTACATATCTGTTCAAGTGGAAATAGAAAATTATAATAGAAGGTTGAATTGATTTGCTAAGCGGTGGTTCGTATTTGATTAATTTTTGAACTTTTTTAAAGAAATTTGTATACTTATTCTCAGTACATTATTTGCTTTCATAATTTGTTAACTTGGTGTTTGTATTTATAGGAATAAATATTTAATCCGGTTAAATTAGGAATTCAAATAAAATATTAAGGGGCTAATTAGTATCCAATACCGCCTAACGAAGACGAAAGCAAGCGAAATTCTAAATAGTAGTATGTCGGAAGAGAAATTATATGCATTTTTTTAAAAAGTTTCGTGAATGAGAATATTCAAACAGAGGAGTAAGCGTAAAACAAAGAGCCTTTTTAAGTAATCGAACATCTTCTGTATAATAATGGTTTCCTTTTATTCAAACACGTTTTCTACATCAAAGATCAAGCCGTAAGTTCGTACCTCCGTAAGACGAAACATTGAAATTTGTTGAAATATGAACACGTTTGTAAGTTTTAATTTTATTTTCAACATCATGGAAATTTGTGTATTAATTGTTTGGCCCAACTTTTCGTGTCGGCACAACTTCTTCGACAAAAGGAAATCTAACATAAGTAGGTACCTAATAATTTTGCTAAAATATTTCCACTCTGTATCAAATATTTGTTCTTATTATTACTGTTTTCATTCCACTTCAATTTTCTACAAAAAAAGCGTTTGCAAAGTGCTATTAGTATTGATCTGGGATATAATAGCTTGTTCAGAGTACCTAGATAGAATTTTAATATACTCGTATTGACTTTATCATGTGCAAACGGCTCATTACAAGTAGAAAATTAGGAACTGCAGTGAGGCATTTATGCATAAAATAACTAAGAGCTATATTTTCTTACAAGATGAATTCTCTGTCAGTTTACTCATTGAATCTGTATTTAACGAGCAAGAACTTCTATTATCTGTTCATAGGAACGTCGGGTTTTATTTAAAAACGTTTAAAAACCTTCAAAAGGTTTACATGTACAGCATTATAAAAAATTAATGGATCTTATTATTAGTTTTTGTATTATTAATTCCAATGAGTTCATTTCTACGTGTTTAAGATGAGCCATTGCTGAAACTTTAAATTAAAGGAATAATTAAGAGGATTAAATTTCTTATCTAAATAAGCAGTTGGCAAGAAGGTATTATAAATGAAATTGTATAGCATGAAAGTAGAGGCACTAACTATAAAGAAAGGAGATTATTCCATCATACCTACATATATACATATGTATGTATTAACTAACTCAATTTAATTAAAACTGTATTTTTCATGGGAAAGTGATAGTTTTTTAAAATCTGAACAAATTTAGTTTAATGGAATTAATATGTAAACTCGTTTGGAGTTGACAAATGCAATTAAACTTGAAACTGGGAATCAAAATACTCGTCACGCAAACTAACTGGATATCTATTAATGTAACAACATTGGCTAAACGTTCGGAATATTTTCCTCTTTTACAGCCGATATCACACGACGTACCTCTTTTTGCTGTTCAAAGGTTTATGTAATTTATAAATTTCACAGTTGCAAATTAATGACATTATTCGTCGACATGCTTGCAGTAGATATTTTATAATATAAAGGAAAAGTCAGTTATTTTTCCATAAAAGTAGAGTTTACTTAACTAGTGTTTACGGTTAATATCATTAGCATGAGAAATGGAAGCTCGACAAAGAGGAATATCTGCTCCAGAAATATGTTAATCAACAGTGAATGGATATGAAAACAACTTGTTAACATTGGAATTTTTCGTCATGAAAGTGTTTATTGTGCAAATAAATGAAATTAAAACAAATTATTGTTTGTGCAATATTCCTCCAACCTCTGAATCATTGGGGAAATATGGAAATTAGTTAATGTACGGATTAAGAATTTAGTAAGTTCAACACCTTCGCCGATTAGATCCACTTACTTACTAATAAGTCATATGCACCTAGAATAACGAAGTGGTCGAACTTAACCATCAAGACTAACTAAAGCACTCGACAAACTCCAAAGTTAAATACATAACACTTCGTTATTAAGTAATTGTTGATAAAAAATTTACTACGATTAAATAACCTTAGTATAAATATCCTTAATTGGTAAATCCACTTTCTAGGCTTTTAATTAAAAAACGTTCATTTTATTAACAAAATTAAACAGTTGTAGGTAATGAAAATGCATAATGTAAAGAGAAGGCCATAAGAAGACTGTAAAATTCCTACAATATTTAAAACTGTATAAGTTATCTTAACGATAACAAGAGGTTAATAATTTAATGGAGTTGACTAAGCAGAATGTTTTGTTCGCTCACTACTTACAGTTGTTCGAGTAGAATTAATATACAATGTGCTGTTAAGACAGAAACACGATTGTCTCCAACTACTTAATCTACCCAAATTTATTATTATCCGTAAAATAGTTGTCATGTAATTGAATCTATACATTTATATATACGAAAAATTTACTGTAGATATAACAAAAAAAATTCGGTGAAATAACGAGCTTGCTTCGAGCGAAATGTATTTTTATCCTTTTGAGGAAACGAAGGTCACAAACTCCCGAAATTGTAAATCAGATTCTATATAGGTTCATTTTTTATTACATTTTAAAGGTAAAAATGAAGAAAATCAATATAATATTCTATTATAAAAAATATTTACTCGAGAATTAAACAAATTAGCATAACCAATTATCCACTAAGTTAGAAAATAATTCCTCATTAAGAACAACTGACATACATATAAGTCAGTGACATTTTTTATAAGCTTCCTCTTTGCATTTTTAGGCCGAGAAAATATCAAAAACTTAATAAATAATAATTTAAATAATTGGGTAAGTATATTAATTACACAGGAGTTCAAATACGTTTCAGTAAAATGTACCTATACGTAAAACTGTCATTGAAGCAGATTATTCATAAAATATTCATTATTAAATAAAAATAGAAAAGGATTCTACCCTTTACTAATCAGTGTGACATGATGAAAAAATTAAAAGGTTGGTTTAATTTGGATCCCTTTTATTACGGTTCGGAAGGGTGCAAAGAAGGAAAAAAAGGATTATCACAAACAAAAATCCGATTGACAGTCGGTATACGAGAAATTTGGGCTAGCGATAATAATTATATAGATCAAAGAAATGAAATTAATACCTCAATAATCTAATTCTCTCAATACAAAAACCAGATCAGTTAATCAGACCCAATTATTTCGTTAAATCAAGTGAAAAATTTAGATTTATTTATATGCCCTTAA